GATTTTGCTATCAATACTTCACAAAAACCATCAATCATAAAATGATGCAAAATAATTTCAAAAAATAGATGATGTGCTTTTAAGGTCTTTGTGGTCTAGTAATGGCAAGAAAAAATGTAAACAGCCCAATACATCATGATCTGCATTTTGGTCTAAGCTGTGGAATGTCCTTGACCAACTCAACCTAAATGACAAAACTAGTGCAAATGTCTCTCATGTTTAACATTGTGGGTCAGTGAAATGACCCACAAAAAGAAGTCCCCACTACTGCTTATATGTCTGACTAAAATGCTAACACTCTATCATAATTGTTTAAATTCCCACCACCCAAACTAAACCGTGGGTATCATGTTGTGAGCAAGGGCTCATCCTTACTTTTTAGCTAAGTCATGTCCAATAAATTGTTTAATGAATTATAGGAACTCATCCAAAGATTCCTCTTCAAAGCTGTTACTGAATAATTACCAAACAAGACTAAAAACTAAGAGTATGAAATTGGAAAGGATCTAAGCAATTAGTCTCCACATCACAGGAAAAAGAAGTCCAAAGAAAATAAATTGACTTACCAAGGTTAAATAGCAAAAGAAAATAAGTGGACTTACCAAGGTTAAATAGTAAGATCTGAATTCACATTTCAACTGGAAATTGAGATTTTGGGCATTGCCCACCTCTGATCCAGAGTAAATCTCTCCCAGTATACCACTTCCCATCTGCTCTTTCCTATTCTTTCTCAGAGTTTCTTGAGGAAGTACTTAGCAAATCACTTAAAATTCAACTTTTATAAAAGCGATTTCTGCAGTGAAAAATCTCTATTCACACACAACTAAAATATGATGCTACACATTTTAGGTAGAATGAACTAGTAAAGAACAATAAACTGCCTATTTATTGCTGTAAAATCCCAGACCTTAACGTACAGTCCCTTCAGAATATAAGGGCACTAAGGCTTTTTTTTTTAATGGAGATAAATTACGTATTTTTTAATCAACTTTCTCACAAAAATCTGAAACACAAAGTTGGGCGGAAAGTTGACAGAAGTAAAATTGAAAATGTTAGGACTGTAAATATCCAAAAAATCCTTTTAAGGCTCTAGCAGATTTCTTAGAGAACTATCTGGATACCAATATAACCAACAGCTTCAACCAGGCTCCCAAACTTGTTTTTTCTGCTTTTAAATGTTTAAATGGCAACACAAGGCTTGCAAAAAGTTTTAAATTATGAGAAGAAAAACTGGAAACATGCCAATCAATAAATTATGGTGTGTTTTTTTTACTATAGCACACCATAGAGTCATATAAGATACCGTGTAGAAATATGGAAGACCATCTTTGATGTTAAAATTCAGGTATATGCATATGTAACTATTCACCTTGCTATGCAAGCTATGCAAAGAAAAGATCTAGAAGTAGACTGTTAACACAGGTTATCCAGGCATTAGGAAAAAATGGGAGGAGCAATTTTCTTTTTCTCCCTTTACAATATGCTTTTTAAAAATAAGGGAAAAGATGCCTATTTCTTGCTCCCAATAGCTACATGATCTTAAGCAAATTACTTAAATTAGGTAAGCCCATAGCTAATACATAACACAGAGATAACAGGATCTCATCAAAGAATTATTCTAAGGACTGAAATAAATCATGCACATAAAATACTTAACACAAGACACATAGCAAACATAATCAGCGGTACCTTTCTTATTTTTTCAGACAGTAATGAAATGTCCTAAGTAATATATATAGCCATCATATGGAAAAACTGGTAAACATTTCTGCAGTAAAAACTAATGGAGAAAACAAAAAGGGAAGATAGCAATATAATGGTCCTCATAGGTCATTAGCTATTATGTCACATATAATCTAGCTTTGAAAATTTTCAGTCAAATGTTTTCACTAAATTACCCTAAGGCTTTAAAAAAGCCACAAGGGAAGATGTACCTTTCTGTATGTATACTAAGAATTGACAAATACTTAAGACACCACAAAACTGGTACATTCTCAGTCTAGCACGTTTAACTGTGAGGTAACCATCTCACCAATTAAGTACACATTTGATCAACAAGAACATATCTGCAAGGATAAAAATCACTGCTCATAACAGCAGTGTTCATAACAGCAAGAGAAGAATAATTTAAGTTCCACCTCCCTTAAGCTGATTTTGCTGCTCTTGCTAACAGCAAGAGAAGAAACCTCATTCCATCAAAAGAAGGAATGTTTTAAGTTGTAAAAAGCCATACTATGGAACATTTACAGTCGACCCTATACAGTCGACCTGAGGAGCATACAAAAAAGAGCTAGCTGAATATACATCTATGAGTGATTATCCTTGAGGACTGGCTCATATTCGTAAAATACTTACTTTTCATTTAGTTTGATTTATAACCAGTTATTTGTTTAACCCTAATAAATTTATTTTTAAAATACACCAGCCCCAAGAGTCAATAAAACCTCATATTTTCTATTTCCTACTAATATTGCTATTTTCTGTAACTTGAATTACAATCCAAGTGTTATGCAACATAACAATTTTTTAAGTAACAAATTGTAGAAAGCAGATTTCTTAGGTTTTACCTTTTAAGGGACTTTCTATTGAAAAAAACCTTAATGTATTTTCACTTTTAAGAGAAATCATAAAACAAAGGCACATCAAAGTAATCTGCAATGAGACATTAAGAAAAAAGCATTGCCCTACTCTGGTTTAGGGGCAATCTTTGTTGCCCTATTTCAGATGCAAACAAAATCAGGCCTTCTTAAACAGAACAGGATATTTCCCAGTGAACAAAACCTTACACTCAGTAAAGTTGATCAAAATGGGAGAGACCAACCCAAATGTTATCTTTCTGGGTAAAATCCATATACCGACTAGATGCAATTCTGATCAAATCAATCCAACATCCAAAAGCCCACTTTCAGTCAGCAAAGACACAGGCACACAAAATTTAACATAAAATGCAAATTCTCAGTTTTGAGAAAAGCAAACACTTAAAAAATAAAGAAGCCTATCAAATAACTGACACTGCCACTTCTGGTTGAGGAAAATAATGATAAATACTAAATTTTCAAGTAAACTCAATCCTTTAGCCTTGCTTAAAAACAAAAATTTATCGTGAAGCAGATTTAAATAAGAAATCTATGTTCAAAATCGCTAAATTATAGGAGGAAACAATCAGTTTATCATTCTACAATTATCCCTATGAACATTAACCACCTGCAAGCTTAAAATTTAAAGTTACTAACAATCTTTAAATACCTTTGAAAACATTCAATTAATGATTACAACTGAATTTATACTAAAAATACTGTAAATGCAAAAGTTCTTCACAAGAGGGAGAGAAAAAGTAAGTTCATTTTTTATAATCTTTCAAATTAGACTCAAGCATGGCGCAAAAAAAACTGTATTCAGTATGGACTAGATTCTGTACCACCTCTTCCCATGAATTCCTTCTTAAATTTTAATGTTCGGATAGCTCTCATAGGTGAAAGGACTTAATACAACTCATTACCCCCAAAAAAGAAAAAAAAAAACCATCAAAAACGCTTGCACAAAAGTTGACAAGAGGAATTCCATAAAAACTAAATACCACTATGCTTTTGCCTTCACTAAATAACCAGTCCAGATTACAGGAATCTGTAAATACATGACAAGGAATCTGTAAAGGTAAAGACATGACAAGGAATTACTAATATACCAAAACAGCACCTTGAGGTGTCTAATTAACAGGTAATCCTTTTATATAATTCATTATACTTTCTAGAAATCACTATGTAGGGAAGGCAAAATGATAACCTTATTAGACTTTGGAAACCCTCCAAAAGTTGTTGTGTTCCAAATGACCCAGAAGAAATAGATCTTTCCACTAAAGCTGAATAAAAGGCAGAGTAATAAATATAATGAAAACTTTAAGCGTATCATTTTCTGCATCTTAGACGCACCCAAAAATCAAGACTCAACTACCAAATGAAAAAGCCCACATGTAGTGTTTCACTAAGAGTGAAAAATGAATTTAAGGAAACCATAGAACCATTGAAGAGCAAAAGATCTGACGATATTTATTCAATATGCAAAACATCTATCCCATTTGTCACAGAGGTATACTTAAAAATTTGTAGC